CCCAATTCAATATTCTTTGGCTTTCACAGTTATAAACCAGGGAGGAATTTTGAATGTTCTTTATTGAAAGCTTACAAATTTGGCAAAGGTAAAGAAGAAGGGGCCCATTGTTAATATTGTGAGCGGGTGAGAATATTTTATTCTGCACTGAACCATATGAGCGGGTAGCATTTGTTAAACTGGGCCGGAACCCATGCAAATAGAATTTTGTAAGGTCTCTTTGTTCTTTTAAAAGCTATTTGTGGGTTATTCCTCCATATGCAAGTAAGAGGATATTTTGAGTATTAATGAGTATTAGTAAGATTGTTCCTTGAACTTCTTTGATTTTGTTGGCTAAAATATACCTTACAAATTATGATTTTTACCATTGAAGACTTAGCAGATTCTTATTTGTTTCTTCTCCCAAGGATTAAGTAAAATTTCTCAATCAGGTCAAATTCTACATGTGGTAAAACACGGCTATGAATCATCACAAATTTCTGAGGCAGCCTGGCATACAGTATGTGCACTCAAAAACACTTCATTCCTTTTCTTTTCAAACTTATCCCTAGAAAACATTTGGAATCCCCTTTCCTTACATCTCTGGAATTGTTCTCAAAATACTGAAGTACTTGATGAAAATGTTTCACTCTCCAGCTATTCTCTCAGGAAATTCTGATAAGGGGTGTGGTAGGGATGGGTGGATTGGAACTTGGGGGCTTGGGGGAGCTGGGAAATGTTTTTAAATAAAGCCTCCAGATGATTCTTCAAATTAAGCAACACTGCTTGAGAGCAAGTCTTCTCAAACCTGACCACGTAGGCAGATAAAAAAAAAATCCTGTCTTAGGTTCCCACTTCAAACTAATATAATCAGAGCCTCTGATGGCAAGGACCAGATATGAATATATTTTGAGCATCCTCGTGGGCTTTCATATCCATCTAGGATTGAGAATTACTGCTTTTGAACAACACTCAAGTGAACATTAAAACAGCTCCTGAAAAAATCCTGTGGAATAATAAATTTTTACCTCTAGTGTTTCCCTAAGACAAAAGGTATTAAATTTGAGTGAGTATTAAAATCAGAACACTTTAGTATGAGACAAATATTATGTAGAGTCAGTTTGAGTACTGGATATTCAAAATTCCTGGGATGGAATAAGTCAGTCTCTAGACTTTTTCAAGAACTTAACCAGTTTTCCATTTGGGCCATTAAATCATGTGTAATTCAACTGGTTAGCAGCAAGACTGTGATATGCAGACGGGATGCAAATTATCAGGTGAAGTAGGTGGAGAAATGTGGTAGCAAGAATTGAGGTTAATTGTGGTAGAATGTTAAGATTATGGTCATGAACAAATTTCATTATCCACCTTTCTTTTTGCTTCCAGAAAAGATTCTGCACAGGTGTATTTACCTAGATGATCTCCAGTGTGGCAACTCTTAATTGTGCACCTCAGATTTTGGAAAATGCTGAAATAGCCAGATTTTGATCTAGATAATGGCACAAGGATGCTGGCAGATAATTATGCCTTTCGATTTCGGGGAGTTTAGTTTTATTCTTTCAGTGAAGTACATAGTTGAGGAAGATCCAGTGCCAGATGGTAATGTTGGCTGGAAGTGGTTTTCTCACCTATGTTTGGCAGCTTTACTCGAAGTGGTGCTTTAAATGCCCGAGACTCAGTCTATACTATTTAACATGATCACTAGGAAGCTTTAGGTGGTATAGATGCAATGACACAGCTCATTAAAGGTCCCATAACTATGAGCATCTGACATCTGTGCTGAAAATAGAACTGGATACAGCCTTCAAGTGCTTATAGATATGAGTGGTGCACTGTTTTTAAACACCCTACTGAAATGCATTGTATTAACCAGGCTTGTAATTTCTAGGGGCATTTTTGACATGGAAGAATAGACTTAGAGTTAAAGGGCTGCCCGTTTTAAAGTTGGCCTCCTCCTAAATGGGTTCCCACTTCCCCAGAATTTAGACAATGGTTTTAGCTGTTGATTTATTCATCATTTAATAATAATAGTAATAGCCATCCTGATTGGGATACCTATAATGTGCTAAGATACTTTATGTATAAGCTATGCAGCAGCCTTCCAAGGTATTACCATTTGTGGGTGAGGGACCTGGGACCCTGACAGAGTAAGAAACTTCCCAAAGACCATAAAACTGCTAAGTGACTGAGCCAGGAATCTGCCAGCTGTCTGTCTGCCCATCGGGGTCTCTGTCCATCTTGCCACCAACCCCAGCAATATGTACAGGAATAAAGTCAACATTCATTTCTATAAACTGCAACAAGTGCTCATAAAAGTTTTCCTGTAGTTTGGTGTTTGAACTTAACAACAAAACAAAACAACCTGAAACTAGCAGATTCAGCCTTCTAGGAGCTTCCATCCCAGTAGTCCTTTATCACATTAAAGAATAACACCCTGATTCTTCACACACATTTCTAGGCACTTTAACTTTTGGTTTTAAAAATACTCCATGATCCTTTCTATTAGAGATGTTAATGAAATTAGGAAATAAGAAGAAGCCATTGTAAATAGTGCTGCGATAAACATAGGGGTGCATCTGTCTATTTCAAACTGGGCTGCTGCATTCTTAGGGTAAATTCCTAGGAGTGGAATTCCTGGGTCAAATGGTATGTCTATTTTGAGCTTTTTGAGGAACCTCCATACTGCTTTCCACAATGGTTGAACTAATTTGCATTCCCACCAGCAGTGTAGAGGGTTCCCCTTTCTCGACAACCTTGCATAGCCAAGAAATGGAAGCAACCTAAGTGTCCATCAGTAGATGAATGGATAAAGAAGATGTGGTACATACACATAATGGAATATTATTCAGCCATAAGAAGAAAACAAATCCTACTATTTGCATCAACATGGATGGAGCTAGAGGGTATTATGCTCAGTGAAATAAGCCAGGTGGAGAAAGACAAGTACCAAATGATTTCACTCATATGTGGAGTATAAGAACAAAGAAAAACTGAAGGAACAAATCAGCAGCAGAATCACAGAACCCAAGAATGGACTAACAGTTCCAAAGGGAAAGGGACTGGGGAGGATGGGTAGGAAGGGAGGGATTATGGCGGGGAAAAAGAAAGGGGGCATTATGATTAGCATGTATAATGTGGGGGGTGCAGGGAGGACTGTGCCACACAGAGAAGACAAGTAGTGATTCTATAGCATCTTACTACGCTGATGGACAGTTACTGTAATGGGGAGTGTGGGGGGTACTTGATGATGGGAGGACCCTAGTAGACATAATGTTCTTCATGTAATTGTAGATTAATGGTAACAAAGCAAACAAACAAGCAAACAAATAAATAAATAAAAAGAAGCCGCATGGAAATGCATTCATCCTAAATTTGGCCTGGCTCCTCACAGCTGCAGAAACTCATTTTCACCCCTGGCCCCATCCCCTTTCCAGAGTCCTAAAGAACAAACCCACTGGGAGTCCCCTTCATTTCCCAAAGGAAATATTTCATTCATATAATGTCTCCTTTGTAATCAACACTGAGAAATGTCACTTTGATTAAACACAACTCTGAATGTCCAAGACCACAGTACAATGAATTCTCCAGAGCTGTCTTTCAGAACAACTGATTGCTCTCCAGTCTTAATCCTCCAGAGTCTTATTTAATCAAAATGATGTTGCTAATTAAGGATTAAAACCTCCAAATAGAATAAAAAAGAAGGATTTTTCTTTCTCCTTTGGGCAGGTCAAGGAGGCAGAATTTGCTATAAGGAAGTAAAGCGTCCCTTCCACCTTTGGTAAAATTGCACTATTCTCTGATGTTTGGACTTAATCCAAAATAGGCCTAAGTGCTTTGTAATATTCATATAATTAGAGAGAGAGAGAGAGAGAGGAATAAAGAAATAAAAAAGAAAGGAAGGAAGGAAGAAACAAAGGAAAGGATGAGAGGGTCAAAGAAACTGCGTGGATAGCTACTATCCTAGATAATACTTATTCTAATTTTTTTTCATTTAATGCTTTTAATCTGAATTTTCTTTAAACATTTTGTCTGACTCTGTGCATTGCTTTTATCCATTGTTAACATTGATGGAAAGACAGAATATTGTAGAAAAATATTAGCAACTCATTTCACAGAAAAGAGGGAACAAAATAATGTATCACAAATCTATTTGATGTCCCCTGATGAATAACAAAAACAAAATTATCTTTTAAAGGCTGAAGTGCTTTACCTTAAGAGAAAAATCTTAATTTTTATGAATTTGTATTTGATTATAAAAACTGATTCCTTAAAAACACATTGAACTGTAAAAAACTTATTGGGAGAGACAGAGATTCACAGAAAGGTGATTTTATTTTCATGGATCACAAACTCTTTTAGGAGTTGGGGGTCAGGTGGATATGAAACAGGTGCTGGTTGATATTTAAGAAGTTGTAAAATACTTTTTCCATCCCTTTCATGTTCTCTCTGCTCTGGCCTGTGAATTTATAAACTGGCCAAATTAGTATATTGAAATGTAGACATAACTAATAGTAACAGCTATTGCTTATCGATCACCTATTCTGTTCCAGATTATTTGTCAGCAAATACATACTTTTCACCTCTGATAAAACCCCAGAAGAAGTATTAGCACAACCCTTCAGAAATGATTAAACCACAATAGCCAGAGGATAAGTGACTTGAACAAGGTCAGGCAGCTTGTGTTAAGTAGAGTTGAAACTTCCACCCAGGCCTGGTAGCTCCAAAACCTCATTCTATTCAGTATAACAGCCACTTCATACTTGTTGACTTGGAGAGTAAATGTATCAGTGAGCTTTGAGAAGGTGCTGGTAAGCTGTGTTGGTCTGTACTTGACTCACATGCTCCCACAACTGCAGCATGGTAATTGTCCAGGCATCGTCGCATTGTCACCTACCCAGCCCAACCAGTGCCGAAGACTGAACTGCAACCATCAACTCAGAACCAGAATGCAAACAATGAGAAATCCTCAAAGCATGAGAAATGTCATAAACCTTGTTTTTCTCCCAGCCAGCAATACCTACCAGTTAAAAAAGGACATTCGTGTGTGTGATCCATGCTCCTGCAGGCTGTACGCACCCACCGGGCAAACAATGGCTCTTGTCCCGCCTATGCCAAGGCAGATGGCCAACAGTGCTACGTAGAACAGCCTGTTCTGTTCCTTTTTTGGTATGTCGTTAATCATGTGGTGAGAGCCTATACAGAACTCTCCCAAGGGAAAAGCAACCACAGATAACAAAGCAGTGCCTGTAGATAGAAAAAAAAGAATAAATATGGCATAGACATTGAATCACTGAGTCACAGCACAAATAGGGGTCTTCCTCTGAAACTATCATCATTTTACATTTGATACATTTACTCTCCAAGTCAACAAGTATGAAGTGGCTGTTATACTGAATAGAATAAGGTTTTGGAGCTACCAGGCCTGGGTGGAAGTTTCAACTCTACTTAACACAAGCTGCCTGACCTTGTTCAAGTCACTTATCCTCTGGCTATTGTGGTTTAATCATTTCTGAAGGGTTGTGCTAATACTTCTGTTGTATAGAAGTCTTTATTGGCCATTGCAGTTCTGGACATAGCATGATTTTTTTAAGTGTGTTTTAGCTTATCTAGAATCTTAGTATTTTTCCTTCTCAAACTTGAATTCTCTTTTCTCTCAGAATGCAAATCGTGTCCATTTTAACAAAAAACCATTCAGAAATACATCATATAAGAAAGTGAAGATGCCTGTAATCCCACCCCCCAGAGAAAAAAAATCACTGTTCACAAGTGTTTATGTTTATTTAGTCAATAGAGTAATGGGAAAGTTATGATCTCGGCCATCTCAGAAGCCTGTTAAATAAAACATCTTAAGGAGGGCGTCATTGTAGTTAAAGAGCAGAGCCTCTCCTCTGCTTTTCTACTTCTCTTTCTCCTCTTGCTGCCCTTCTAATTCTCCTCATTTCTCATGCAGCTGGTGGGGGCCTTCTCTGTGCCAACGGAGGTGAGAAGGCCGTGGAGGGGGCACCAGGTCAGTGAGAGCCTGAAGGAGGGGAGGCCAGGTGACAACGAGGGCCGAGCATTCTTTCTTCTGCTTCACAGAGACTACACTTGAAGATTTCCCTTGTCTAGTAGAAATTATGATTCAAATGTTGTATTTTTTGCTAAGCTCTTTACCTGCTGCAGAGCATCTTTGTGTACTCTGTTGTTTCATCTTGGAAAACCTGTGTCATGTCAGAGAATAGATTTTCTTATTCTGATACTTCAAAAAAAAAAAAGAAGTTGAGTGAGATGGAGGGAGTTGGCTGGTGTTAAGAGTAACCTAGACGTATTCTCCCTGTTCTGGAATTCCTTGCATCAAGTGGTCAAATCATCATTTTTTGTGAGCATTAATTTGATTAGTGAAAAATGACTTCTCTCTGTGAGTTTTGGCCTCCATTTTATTAATTTAGCATGGTCAGTTTTCTCAATGAGACTATAAACTCCTTAAAGGCAAAAAATTGGGTCTGATGTTTCCATCTCCCTTACAGTAGCTTTCACAATGTGAAGAAGGTATTGCACTCAATAATTGTTTAGTAGCAGATCGATTTATCAGGTGGGTGGGCCCATTATATTATTGAGTTTGAAATGTTTGCCATCAAGGTTAGCCAGATGTGGTATTAATTACTCTCTCTCTCTGCCAGTCAATCCTCCTCACCTCTGAAAGTGTGATGTGGGTCAGCCTAAGGGGATGGGCAGAGGAGCTATTTCTTGCAGCCACTATTTATTTGAAGACAAAGCATTTTAGTGGTACCTTTGTGTAAGTTAGAAGGGCACTTTACTTCTTATTTTGAGAAAATGTCATATTACGCTGATTTCATTACATCCAAACTTTATTTCTATCAACTGTAAAATTGATATAATAAAAATACAAGTCTATGACACACATCTCTTTGATGTGTGCTAACCGTGCACTGCATAATCAATGCCCTTGTATTTGGTAGCTCTGTATAAAGTACCAGGATGTGTCCTATGCTCTGCTAGGTGGTGGGGGTCCACTGGCTCTTCTCTCCAGGAGCGAAGGAGTCCGTCAGAGAAGGCAGATGTGCAGATAGACAGGTACATTATAATATGTGGTAATGCAACCAATCATGTAGGTATGATCAGAGTGTGGTTGAGCACCGAGAAGTGAGCAACAAACATCACATGGATCTTGAAGGAAGAATAAGATCCTTCCTTGGAAGGGTGGAAATATGAAGGAAGGTTGGCAATTTAAGGAATAGGAAAGAGTATATGTAAAATTAGAAAAGTAGGGAAGTAGGCAAGGAGAAATCCATCATGAGGTCACATATTGAGGCAGAAGTCTAGAGAGGTAAATGTAGGACAGATTGTAAAGATCCTTGCTTACTAAGTTGGAGTTTAATTTTTAAATAATAGAGCCAATAAATACATTTCTTCTTTCTGGGAGTCAATGTTGGTAGAAAAGTGTTTGGACTGGAGTCATACTGATGACTGACAAGCCAGTAAGTAAGCCATAGTAAGGGTTAAGAAAAAGAAAGCTGCATTTTTGAGCCAAGGTTGTACCAATTCAGACAAAAGATACATTTTTGATGAAACTTGAAACTTAGTGACAGGTTGGAATTTGATAGTAGCCATGAGTGGGGACACGAGGATACTATTTTTGGTAAGAAAATGAATGGACATGGGGTTAATTTAGGTCTTTTGTTTGCCAAATTCCAAAATTGGAACTTCAGTCCTCGTCTGATGACTTACACAGGAATTTAGATTAGTAGAAATAACCATGTTAAACAAAAGTCACCAAGTGCTACTGATTTGATCAGTTCCCAGTTAAGAAAAGTAAATCTTTGGAGCCCTTGCTTAAATGTCTCTTTATCAGAGCACATTCCCTGATACAGAAGACCAACCTTGTCACTGTCTAGCCATTCCTGTCCACTTATCCAGCTTTGTTTTTCATCATTTGCTTGTTTGTTTTCTCTCTCCCAGCATCAACTTCAGCAGAGAAAAGACTGCTTTCCTCTCTGTTGTATTTCCAAGTCCTAGAAAAATGTCTGACACAAAGTAGTCAATGAGGACTATTTGTTGAATGTTGAATGAATATTTGCCATGAAGTGACTTGGTTTTTTGTTTCACAGAACTGAAGCGGTAAAGTCTCTAAGTTGACATCACACTCTAATTGATTTTTTTAGTTGAAGTATCATTGATATGCAATCTTATGTTGGTTTCAAATGTATATATCACACAGTGGTTTGACAGTTACCAATATTATTAAATCATTACCCCGTCTAGTGCGGTTACTATGTACCAAGGTAGAATGATGTTACAGAATCATTGACAGTCTTCTCCACGCTGTATTACTGTCCCCTTCACCAACTTCTAATTGATTCTTTGAATGGTAATTTGTCACTTTCCTGAAATTTTTGATGCATTGAATGCCTGATGTCCATCCCTTCCTCATTCCTCTTCCCATCCCCCAACCTCCCTCACCCACCCCAAACCTGCATCGCTAATGCAGTTCTCAGTCTTGGTGAGCAGTGCACTGTCTTCCTAAGTTTCTCAGCTCAGAAACATGGTGCTAAGTTTAGTTCCTCCTCCGTATTTGTGCCCTTCGTCAGCTGTAGAGTGTTCAAGGTGTTTCCCGTGCTCCTTCCTGGACTGACCCTTCTCCATTGCCTGGACCAACCTCTCGAGGTTTTTTTCAGAGCTCTCTCTGTTTATCCTCTTATCCTGTTTATTGAAGAAAAGCATTTCCCGAATGTTTTCACTATGACTCCTTGTCACCTAGAACAACAACTTGAATTCTCAGCCTAAATTTCTAGACCGTTCATCAACTCACTCTCAATACCTTATCAAACAATCCGGATACGTCTCCAAATTCCTTGTAGTCATTTCATTCCTAAACTTGTGTAGATATACTTAGTTTTCTCTATGTAAAGAAGCACAGTGGAGTGTTTGAATTCATTCATTTTTAGCATAGCCATTGTTCATAATATAGAAATCATGCCTTCATATGTTGAATCACTGAGTCACAGCACAAATAGGGGTCTTCCTCTGAAACTATCATCATTTTACATTTGATACATTTACTCTCCAAGTCAACAAGTATGAAGTGGCTGTTATACTGAATAGAATAAGGTTTTGGAGCTACCAGGCCTGGGTGGAAGTTTCAACTCTACTTAACACAAGCTGCCTGACCTTGTTCAAGTCACTTATCCTCTGGCTATTGTGGTTTAATCATTTCTGAAGGGTTGTGCTAATACTTCTGTTGTATAGAAGTCTTTATTGGCCATTGCAGTTCTGGACATAGCATGATTTTTTTAAGTGTGTTTTAGCTTATCTAGAATCTTAGTATTTTTCCTTCTCAAACTTGAATTCTCTTTTCTCTCAGAATGCAAATCGTGTCCATTTTAACAAAAAACCATTCAGAAATACATCATATAAGAAAGTGAAGATGCCTGTAATCCCACCCCCCAGAGAAAAAAAATCACTGTTCACAAGTGTTTATGTTTATTTAGTCAATAGAGTAATGGGAAAGTTATGATCTCGGCCATCTCAGAAGCCTGTTAAATAAAACATCTTAAGGAGGGCGTCATTGTAGTTAAAGAGCAGAGCCTCTCCTCTGCTTTTCTACTTCTCTTTCTCCTCTTGCTGCCCTTCTAATTCTCCTCATTTCTCATGCAGCTGGTGGGGGCCTTCTCTGTGCCAACGGAGGTGAGAAGGCCGTGGAGGGGGCACCAGGTCAGTGAGAGCCTGAAGGAGGGGAGGCCAGGTGACAACGAGGGCCGAGCATTCTTTCTTCTGCTTCACAGAGACTACACTTGAAGATTTCCCTTGTCTAGTAGAAATTATGATTCAAATGTTGTATTTTTTGCTAAGCTCTTTACCTGCTGCAGAGCATCTTTGTGTACTCTGTTGTTTCATCTTGGAAAACCTGTGTCATGTCAGAGAATAGATTTTCTTATTCTGATACTTCAAAAAAAAAAAAGAAGTTGAGTGAGATGGAGGGAGTTGGCTGGTGTTAAGAGTAACCTAGACGTATTCTCCCTGTTCTGGAATTCCTTGCATCAAGTGGTCAAATCATCATTTTTTGTGAGCATTAATTTGATTAGTGAAAAATGACTTCTCTCTGTGAGTTTTGGCCTCCATTTTATTAATTTAGCATGGTCAGTTTTCTCAATGAGACTATAAACTCCTTAAAGGCAAAAAATTGGGTCTGATGTTTCCATCTCCCTTACAGTAGCTTTCACAATGTGAAGAAGGTATTGCACTCAATAATTGTTTAGTAGCAGATCGATTTATCAGGTGGGTGGGCCCATTATATTATTGAGTTTGAAATGTTTGCCATCAAGGTTAGCCAGATGTGGTATTAATTACTCTCTCTCTCTGCCAGTCAATCCTCCTCACCTCTGAAAGTGTGATGTGGGTCAGCCTAAGGGGATGGGCAGAGGAGCTATTTCTTGCAGCCACTATTTATTTGAAGACAAAGCATTTTAGTGGTACCTTTGTGTAAGTTAGAAGGGCACTTTACTTCTTATTTTGAGAAAATGTCATATTACGCTGATTTCATTACATCCAAACTTTATTTCTATCAACTGTAAAATTGATATAATAAAAATACAAGTCTATGACACACATCTCTTTGATGTGTGCTAACCGTGCACTGCATAATCAATGCCCTTGTATTTGGTAGCTCTGTATAAAGTACCAGGATGTGTCCTATGCTCTGCTAGGTGGTGGGGGTCCACTGGCTCTTCTCTCCAGGAGCGAAGGAGTCCGTCAGAGAAGGCAGATGTGCAGATAGACAGGTACATTATAATATGTGGTAATGCAACCAATCATGTAGGTATGATCAGAGTGTGGTTGAGCACCGAGAAGTGAGCAACAAACATCACATGGATCTTGAAGGAAGAATAAGATCCTTCCTTGGAAGGGTGGAAATATGAAGGAAGGTTGGCAATTTAAGGAATAGGAAAGAGTATATGTAAAATTAGAAAAGTAGGGAAGTAGGCAAGGAGAAATCCATCATGAGGTCACATATTGAGGCAGAAGTCTAGAGAGGTAAATGTAGGACAGATTGTAAAGATCCTTGCTTACTAAGTTGGAGTTTAATTTTTAAATAATAGAGCCAATAAATACATTTCTTCTTTCTGGGAGTCAATGTTGGTAGAAAAGTGTTTGGACTGGAGTCATACTGATGACTGACAAGCCAGTAAGTAAGCCATAGTAAGGGTTAAGAAAAAGAAAGCTGCATTTTTGAGCCAAGGTTGTACCAATTCAGACAAAAGATACATTTTTGATGAAACTTGAAACTTAGTGACAGGTTGGAATTTGATAGTAGCCATGAGTGGGGACACGAGGATACTATTTTTGGTAAGAAAATGAATGGACATGGGGTTAATTTAGGTCTTTTGTTTGCCAAATTCCAAAATTGGAACTTCAGTCCTCGTCTGATGACTTACACAGGAATTTAGATTAGTAGAAATAACCATGTTAAACAAAAGTCACCAAGTGCTACTGATTTGATCAGTTCCCAGTTAAGAAAAGTAAATCTTTGGAGCCCTTGCTTAAATGTCTCTTTATCAGAGCACATTCCCTGATACAGAAGACCAACCTTGTCACTGTCTAGCCATTCCTGTCCACTTATCCAGCTTTGTTTTTCATCATTTGCTTGTTTGTTTTCTCTCTCCCAGCATCAACTTCAGCAGAGAAAAGACTGCTTTCCTCTCTGTTGTATTTCCAAGTCCTAGAAAAATGTCTGACACAAAGTAGTCAATGAGGACTATTTGTTGAATGTTGAATGAATATTTGCCATGAAGTGACTTGGTTTTTTGTTTCACAGAACTGAAGCGGTAAAGTCTCTAAGTTGACATCACACTCTAATTGATTTTTTTAGTTGAAGTATCATTGATATGCAATCTTATGTTGGTTTCAAATGTATATATCACACAGTGGTTTGACAGTTACCAATATTATTAAATCATTACCCCGTCTAGTGCGGTTACTATGTACCAAGGTAGAATGATGTTACAGAATCATTGACAGTCTTCTCCACGCTGTATTACTGTCCCCTTCACCAACTTCTAATTGATTCTTTGAATGGTAATTTGTCACTTTCCTGAAATTTTTGATGCATTGAATGCCTGATGTCCATCCCTTCCTCATTCCTCTTCCCATCCCCCAACCTCCCTCACCCACCCCAAACCTGCATCGCTAATGCAGTTCTCAGTCTTGGTGAGCAGTGCACTGTCTTCCTAAGTTTCTCAGCTCAGAAACATGGTGCTAAGTTTAGTTCCTCCTCCGTATTTGTGCCCTTCGTCAGCTGTAGAGTGTTCAAGGTGTTTCCCGTGCTCCTTCCTGGACTGACCCTTCTCCATTGCCTGGACCAACCTCTCGAGGTTTTTTTCAGAGCTCTCTCTGTTTATCCTCTTATCCTGTTTATTGAAGAAAAGCATTTCCCGAATGTTTTCACTATGACTCCTTGTCACCTAGAACAACAACTTGAATTCTCAGCCTAAATTTCTAGACCGTTCATCAACTCACTCTCAATACCTTATCAAACAATCCGGATACGTCTCCAAATTCCTTGTAGTCATTTCATTCCTAAACTTGTGTAGATATACTTAGTTTTCTCTATGTAAAGAAGCACAGTGGAGTGTTTGAATTCATTCATTTTTAGCATAGCCATTGTTCATAATATAGAAATCATGCCTTCATATGCAATCTTAATTACTATATGACTAATTAAAAGACCACCTTTTGATGAAAACATTCCTCAATTAGTTTACATGAACTACAGAAACCTTTTTAGCACATTTCATCTTAGTTGGGAAGCAAATGAACTTCACCTTGCATGCAGAATCTGTCACACATTTGAGCTTGGGGTAGGAAGCAGGGAAAGGAGGGCATTATAAGGAGTATAAGGAGGGCATTATAAGGCAGACATGCAAAGAGGTAATTATTATAAACTATAATCAGTGCAACAATATAGGTATCAAAGCGCACACATACGTTTACTAGCACCTCTCAAATAATATAGAGAATGAAACACATTGAAATAACATTCTTCATTCTTCACATTATATACTAAGAGCAAGGTAGGAATAATATAACTAAACGTTCTAACAATGATCTATTCTATGAAGTTACAAAACAATCCAGCCAGAAGAGGACACTCACCTAGAAAATGTAGAAATAAACAAATATACACCAGTTTGTTTCTTCCTAGACAGACATCAGCAAGCCATCCCGCAAACACAGGGGTAAGGAGTGAAGTTCCAGTAAAACACAAGTTCAGAATGGCTGCTTGGTAATTGTGATAGCCCAGCTTGACAGTGCAAAAGGGAATCATATTGCAGACGACTTCGAAGAAAGCGAACCTCTCACACAGCTCCACCAGAAGCAAACAGATTCCAACCTGAAGTTTGTTCATAGAGTATGATGAAGAGAAATAATCGGTATGCCTTACCGTTTTCTCTGTCTCAATGCTGTGATTTAAGGACACTTTCTCATCAGTTATTTTAAAGTCTGCAACAGACATGACTGTGCTCTTTGAATACGACTTACATTGTTGGTTTGAACTTGATTTTTACCCACATCCCTCTAATGAAAAAAATAAGTGAGATCTTGGCTTTGAATTTCACAACTCTGTGCTAAAATTTCTTAAGGCTTTTTGCACATTAATGTTGTTCATTTTGATGACCTGGGAGCACAGGAGAGGAGGCGTGAGAATTTAGACATTCATGGTAACCCATTGTAGCCAAATCTGATTTGTTTGTCTAATTATTTAGAGGCTAAATTAGGCTCTTTCTCTAAAATTATATTGAAATACATGAATTCAGTTGCATGCATGTGGAAACTCATCTGCCTCATCCTGATAAAGGTTTAAATACTGAGGCAGAAGGAGCAGTTTTTCAGGAGAATTTGAGCACTAGATCAAGAAAGAATTTGGGTCTAATAATTTCTGATACTTTAATTAAACAAGCCAGGCCAGTACCAAGAGATAAAGCACAAAAGAAAATCTGTTTTGAAGGGGCAGGATACCTTATCATTATTACATTTCTTGTTATTTTTGGTTGGAATCCTGATAAGAAAGCTAATTAGGTAACAAAAGTGCTAATACATTTAGGTAACAAGCAGAGTTTGCAAGAAAGTAATTTAAGTGCACTAATGAAAGGATAAAATATTAAACAAAAACCTTCTTCCTTTAAGTTGACCCCATGCTTGTAGAACAGCCTCTCGGAGGAAATCAGAATCGAAAGGCACTATTTGACTCCTCATTATTAGTCAGCAGCTGGGGTGTACAGCAGCCATCCTCCACACGCTTTGGGGAATATTGGATCTGGGATCACTCTGACCCTCCAGCTGGGTGAATGCATGTTAGCATTCTATTTTGGAAAGCAGGGAGGCACCAATTAAGCTAAAAAAACAGTCATGAAAAAGCGCACTGGAACATTTAGGGGTTTAGCTGCAAGGACATAGGAAGACAAGGGAATAGAGCCATTGGGTCAAAGTCGTAATCAGTCCGCACACAGGGAGGGAGTACAAGAATGTTATTTTCATATTGGAGTCAGAAGGAAGGACTGATAAAGGCATTTGACTCTGATTCTTATCTTTTGACCTGAGAGATTGGGAGCCACTTTGTTTCAACCCCTTCTAATAATCTCATTATAATGGCAGCTATTGTTATCTGCTCAGCATCACATCCCCTCTTTGGTAACAATGCCCTGTTTTTCCTTTGTGTAGGGTGATCCTGCAATTTATTGTCCAAACTGGGACACTTTTGTGAGTGAAAGTGATGCTATGTATAGTTATTCTTGAGAAGCAGATACAAACTGGGACCCCCTTGGGCAAGCCCCAACATGTGGTCATCTTACATTTAGGGAATGGCTTCCATCTATCACATGAGGTAGTGGTGGGATTTTCTCCTGGCCAAGGGGATTAGGGCATGGTCTAAAATAGTCCTTTTACATTTTCTCCCCAAGAACTTGAACAATGAGCAAAATGACTTGAGGTTGGACATGGAGGAAGTTGAGTCATTCCGATGACAGTTCCCAAAAGGGGGATTCCCTGAAGTTCTGACGGTCGGGTCAGTGCCTCCCCAGTTCTCATCCTTTGGGAAGCTTGATCAGTTTTTCCTTCTGTAAAGGACTTAATTTCCAATCTATGTGAGTCTGACTAAATTAGCTACATTGAATTTCTGTGGCTTATAAGGAACCCTAAGTGATACCTTACGTCTGTGTTTGCCTGAAATACAAAAGAAAGCCTTTCCTCAGCCATTAGGTGACCCATGTGACCAGCACGTGACAAAGGACGCCTGCCATGGCATTTCAGGAGCAGGGTAGCACTGCCTCTTCCCAGAGCCTAATGATGATTGTGTGTGAATTCTTTGGCCAACGTGTATCTTTGCCCAGGAACAGGCCATAGGTGGTGGGATCCTGTGGTTTGGGACTGGTTGAGTCAGGGAGAGCGATAGCCATTTGCTGAGCAGAATTGAAGCAATAGGAAAACACCTCTTTTATTTATTCATGTTTTTAATAGAAAAGTCAAGAATGGGTTTTAAAGGACAAGTTCATTTGAGAATAATGGTTGGCAAAGTATTGAATGACGTCAGCTTTACCAACAAACTGGAGCCCTTGAGCGAGGATTTATGCATACTTTAGTTTCATGCAACACTCCCCCAAACCAAACTCCAGGCTTGTTCTCTGTCCTCCCCCCACCACACACCTTAATAAAATAGTTTTCCTCCATTATAGAAGCAATGTATGTTCATTGGCTACAACTTCGAAAATATCGAAAAATAGAATAATAAACATACAGTGAAAGTTTTTGGAGCATTTCTTTTGATGCTTTTTCCCTCCATGGTTATTTTTTATTAATAGGTTTTAAGTATTTAAATTGTATACAATTGCTATATAATAACATTTTGATTTCCTTTCTAGGTAATATTATAAACTCATTAACATTCTACTGTGACCTCTATAAACATCCATTTTTATGTTTGTGTTAATAGATACACCATTCACTTAACTATTCCTCCATTTTTGGTTAGTTACATTTGTCTTTGATCAGTTGCAAGCCAGTCTTTCCTTAACTTTGATCATGGACCCACATCAAAAAGAAGAAAAAACACCTTTATAAACAATGCTGGAATGAATATTTGTGCAAACTTTCCCCATTCCTATGTAGGATCGTTTTTCAAAAACAATATGATTGGATTAAAGTATGGGAGAGTTTTTAGGCATTTTGACCCCTACTGTAAAATTGTAATACAAATTTCAGGCATGTTTTTCTTAAATGAAAGGCCCACATTGTTTTTGGAATGCAAAGACCACACTTAACACTAAAATTCTTCATTGGAAAGACAAGAGTCATAAGTTAATGTGGGGGCTAGCAATATGGATCATGGTTTTAAGCATTAGAAAAAGTGTCTTATTTAATAGAGGAAATTAGAGGCTCATTTGATGAATTAATAACCGTCCATGATTTTTACTGAGAATCCAGGGCACAAATGCATCAGATCCCATAAGGTTACATTGGTAAGTACTAGAAATGCAAGCCCTACTTTTAAGGAAGCTATTTTTAACTCTGCGGGATAAAAAGCATTTCTATAATCTCCAGGTTGATTATGAATTTTGAGAAAACAGTGTCTTCTAAAATGGTTTTACAATGTATTACTGTAACACTTTTAAATTGCATATGTATTTGCAGAATAACTCTTCATAGGTTCTCTAAACACTTAATAAGCATTTTTAAGGGAAGAGCTTTATTTCTAAGTTCAATAACTCTGTAAAAGAGATGCACAAAGGTCAGTTACAGAGATTTATTCTTTTAGGCCTATCGATTCCATTGACTATGAGGTTTGGTATCTGGTTTGAAAGCATTGTTAAGAACATGGGGATTGATCTTACTTTAATATATTACAAATTGTGCATCAAAGACTTGTTGGAGTGAATTTCTGCTGCATTGTAAGGTGGGAATGGAGAAGTATTATTGAACTATAGTTTTTGTTTTGGGAAAAAGACATTCTGTGTGTTAACCCTTACTCCTCATTTTAGAAGGCTCTGGCAATTATGTCATATCTCTATCCAGAGTGAAAGAGAATCACTTCAGACCTCATCAGATAATAGCTCATACAGGCCCAAGAACAAAGAAAATGTTCCATTCTTCTCCTTTATTCTGAGGATAAGAATAAAATCCATTGCAATGGTAAGGGGTTTTTCTTCCACTCCATGCCATGACTGTTAAGGACTTTGCTATTGCACTGAACTCAACATAAAAGGTACATTATATAAAGTGAGTAAGATGGGAAGAGTTATCACATGTACACTGCAATAATTTTATGTATCAACCTGGCTGGGCCAGATATTTGGTCAAACATATCCTGAATGTTTCTGTGAAGGTGTTTTTAGGTATTTGGTTTCCTAGCAGACTGCCTTTAGACTGCAACTGTGAATTTTTCCTAAGTCTCCATCCTCCCAGGCACCTCAATCAAATTTTGGGCTTGTGAAACCTCCACGGTCATGTGAGCCAGTTCCTTAAAATAAATCCCTTACTGTATGTACGTGCATCCTATTGGTTCTGTTTCTCTAGAGAAAGAACACTGACTAATGCATACACCATGCATCTTGTCCCCATTTTTCTTTCTGCTTTGATCATGAAGGAAAAAGAAAACATGCTTAAGGATATGGAATTGATAGCTCCCAAATCTATATATTTACCCAAGACATTTTCCTTGAGTTTCTGATAAACTTGTGGACATGTTGATTTCTATGGAAAATTCCAGCTCATCCATCCAAAGCTATTTCATTGTCTTTTTTCTAGTCTTTCCTGATCCTGACCCTCTTGCTCTGCTTTTTAGATCATCACCACTTGCCCAAATACTCGAAGAAGAAAACAATGAGATGTCCTAGACCTTTTCTTCATTTCTTCCTTGCCTATTTTATCTACTAGAAAATATTTATTGAGTACCTACCATGTGCCAGGCACTATCCTAGACTTTGGAGCCAGGGAAGGACTGTTAATCAGCTTTCTAAAAATTTCACAAATCCATCTCTTTTCTTCACCTTTCTACCTCTGATCTTAGTTTGAGCTTTTAACCTTTCTCTCTTTATTGCTGCTGTATTGCATCCTTCTCTCTCGAACTTCAGTCATTTGTACACCATTTTCATCAATTTGCCATAGCTGTGTACTCTCTTTCCCTCTGACTGTCCTGATTTTTGTCATATCTTATATTATTTCCTTAACAGTATTACTTAAAATGAAATGCTTTTTAAAATCAAGTAAGTCTGTTGGAAGGACCTAAAGAAGTTGTTTTTAATGGTTCAACGCAGATTCAGAAGGCCTGGATTAGGGATCTCTGGGGGTGTGGAGAGAAATAAGTGATGAAGCTGAAAAGATAAGTAAAACCAGGTCATCAGTGGCTTTGTAAGAAATAATTTTGACCGGTTCCTAAAGTTGTTCCTCTTTTATATGCCAGACCTATCCAAATGGAATGAATTTCTATAATAAAGCAGGGTATAAAAGATTGAAGTCTTTCAT